ATCTGTTAACTTCTCTCCAAGGTTTGTCATCACATGGCGAAGCTCTGCTGCACTAATATAGCCATTGCCATCCTTATCAAACACTCGGAATGCTTCTCGGATTTCTTCTTCCCTGTCTGTGTCTTTCATTTTTCTTGCCATCATTGTCAGAAATTCTGGGAAGTCGATTGTGCCATTACCATCAGCATCCACTTCATTTATCATGTCTTGTAACTCCGCTTCTGTGGGATTCTGCCCAAGAGACCTCATTACAGCTCCCAGTTCCTTTGTTGTTATAGTAGTTCCATCACCATCCTTGTCAAATAGTGAAAAAGCTTCTTCAGTTGGTTGGTCAGCCATGCTGCAGGCGCTACCGATCTCCCCGAGACGCAACTACACAACCACTCAGTTCGCTCACTCCACTCGGACTCTGTATAGTATTTTGATTTGCTGTAGTGGAAGGGAGGGAGCCTTAGGCTGGACACGGGCTTTCCTGACCTGCGGCAATAGAACAGGTCAGAGATTCCTCTCCTAGCCTCCCAGATCCAACGTGAGCAGAAAATTGGACAACTCCTTGTTTCTGATTGGATCTTTCTCATATGGGACTTCTCCAACAACCCCTTAGAGAATTGCTGGGAATAAGACGACAGCCCCTGGGTTCCTAGCAAGATCCCCCACCTTTCTAAGAGGAAGGGGCTGGTTCAAGGCCCACAGAATCTGGGGGTGCTTTGAGTCACCTCCCAACCTCCTGGTTCCTCGCCTTGTATGCACTTTTCTCTGGAGATTTAGGGCCTGTGAAAGTCTGTGCCCCAAGATGACAGTTCCCAGGGAGCCCCCACTCATTTGTCATCATGACCCCTAATTGGATGATTCTTGCAGGAAGTGCTTGGTAGAGATTCACATGTGATGTAATCCAGGGCAGTCCTTTCAGCTTTAGACTGCTGGCTCGCTCCATACTGAGCCTGGGACCCTCACCCATGGGAACATTGTGACCTGAGCGGTCATGGCAGGTGGAGTTCCAGTCCCAGCTCCACCACCCACCAACTGCCAGGGCCTGAGTTCCTTAGTTTGTGAAATGGAGAGATGGGTCATCCCTGGGGACAAAATTAAATAAAGCATGTCGAGTGCTTCGAGCTGTGTTGGCTCATGGAGGGGTGCAGGTGGAGTTTGCCTCACGGGGCCAGGAGCAGTATCCGTTCATCCGGGACCCTGCTGCCTGCATAGGACATGTCCAGGCGGGTGATCACAGGCTCCTGCTAGAGGCGTTCCTCACTCTCCTTCTCCATATCCCTCGTGCATAGCAGGTGCCACTTGACCCCTCTCACTATTGGCTGGTGCAACTTCTCCAAGGGACGATCGCCCCACCCTCACCTGGGGGTGGTTCTGCCCTCAGTGGACACTGTCGATGGCTGGGGCATTTGTGGTTGTCACAGTTGTTTCTGGCATTGAGGGGTGGGGACAGGGATGCATTCAATCCACCATGGTGCCCAGGTGACCCCCCACAGAGAATGGCTGGATCCCAGGGTCAGCAGTGCGATGGTGTAACCCACCTCATAGGTAGCACACCCAGACCACAGCCTCAAAACACTGAGTCATGGCCCGGCTGGTGTGGCTCAGTGGTTGAGTGTCAACCCATGAACCAGGGGATTATGGTTCAATTCCCGATCAGGGCACATGCCCCGGTTGCGGGTTCGATCCCTGGTGGGGAACGAGCAGGAGGTAGCCAGTCAACGATTCTCTCTCATCGTTGATGTTTCTTTTTCTCTCTCCCTCTCCTTCCTTCTCTCTGAAATAAATAAAAATATATTTAAAAAATACTGAGTCATGCAAGATGTGTCATAGGAATGTCTTCTTTTGGCTCTTTAAAGAGCCTTACAAAATATAAAAAACAGTGAGGACCAATTTTTCGAGATATGCAAGATCTTGAAGGCCTTGAAACTTGGCTTCAGGAAGCAGAGTGCTCTGATCCTGGGGGCCTTGGGCCTGCTGTGAACTCATAGGATGTGTGCCAACCTGTATCCAGGCCATACAGGAGGCCCTGTGTACCTACAACACGGCATGTCCCTTCTTGAGGAAGCCTCTAAGGCAGTGATGGCGAACCTATGACACACATGTCAGAGGTGACACGCGAACTCATTTTTTGGTTGATTTTTCTTTGTTAAATGGCATTTAAATATATAAAATAAATATCAAAAATATTAGTCTTTGTTTTACTATGGTTGCAAATATCAAAAAAATTCTATATGTGACACGGCACCAGAGTTAAGTTAGGGTTTTTCAAAATGCTGACACACCGAGCTCAAAAGGTTCGCCATCACTGCTCTAAGATGAGCATGACGTGCTGCATGCTGTATGATTGGTCGTGCCCAGACAGGCTCTCCACCTTATTTTCTCATGTGTGAGGTGGGGAGGCCAGGGGGTGACTTGGTAGAGTTAAAGCTCGCCTCCCTTATTGTTCCTCACATGGGACTCCGCCTCTCACTGACTTCAGCTGGAAGAAGGACTCGCAGGTGTTGGCACAGGATTGACTTCAGTCCCCTTTAGCCCTGCTAACTCCAGGGTTAGCCCACACAAGCACCACTGTCTTACTCAGCAGGTAGCACTCTGTGGTCTGGCCCTATACCAGGTGTCTGGGCACTTATGACATGGGCTGGGTCATTCCCTGTGGGGACCATCCTGGGCACTGTGAGGGGGTTGAGGAGCATCCCTGTCATGTGACCACAGTGTCCCCTGGGGGCAGTCACTCCAGTGAGAACTGCTGGTTTAAACAGGTTAGAGCAACCTGTTTTCCCTAAGTATCTGGTGAGTGGGAACCATGTGTATCCTATAGGAACGGTGAGGTTCGGGTAGCCAGGAGTGGCAGGGACAACCCCCTCAGGAGGGTGCAGCAGGCCACTGGGCAGGTGGTTGAAAACAAGGGCCCTGCTCCATTGCTACCTGTTGACTGGAAAGCATGCACATTCGGATTGCCCGGGAAGACAGCCCCCCGGGTTGTCAAGAATCCCTGACATGTAGCCCTAGCCGTGTGGGGACCTCATTTCTGCCCTTTTAGGTGACTGGGGTTGTGCCCCTTTTCCATAGGAGCAGGTTGAGGCTTGTCTGAGGCAGCGGCAGAAGGTAGGCCTCCTGATTCTTCATTCTGGGGGACCCAGGGAAAAGGAGACCCTCCTCTTTAGGGCTGGTGTGGTGGGTGAGTGAGACCCCTAATGACAGTACCCTGCAGAGGGAACAGTAATAGTAGGAAGCCAAGCAGCCAGGGCTTTGGCCACCTCACCAGACTAGGGACACCAGCCTACAGTTGGCACCCTTCAGGGCAGCAGGGCAGGTACCTCTCCAGGGCCAGAGTTCTCACACTGCCACTGGCCCCATCCTTACCACGCCCCCCTTCCCCAATCACAAGGCCTTACAGATTGTCTGTGCTAAGTGACCACTTGTTAACAGAGAACTCATTACTTTCTCTAACATTCATACGGCAAAGGCAGCACAATGTTCTGGTGCACAGCCAGTGCTGCTCCTACCACTGAGACTCTTCCAGTCGGGCCCTGGACTTACGTAGTTCAACCTCTCCCCTGCTGGCTTATTTCTTGGAATAGCTAACATGTTCCCTTTCACTGATTTCAAGAAGTACCAAATTATGAGCCAGGGGAAGCAAGGCTTCCTCTTTCTCCTGACCCCCATCCTCTAGTTCAGCAGTTCTCAACCTGTGGGTCACGACCCCTTTGGCGGTCGAACGACCCTTTCACAGGGGTCACCTAAGACCATCCTGCATATCAGATATTTACATTACGGTTCATAACAGTAGCCACATCACAGTTACGAAGTAGCAACGAAAATAATTTTATGGTTGGGTCACAACATGAGGAACTGTATTTAAAGGGCCAGAAGGTTGAGAACCACTGCTCTAGTTCCATTCCCCAAGAGCAACCTCTGCTACAAGTTTGTTCTCCAGCCTTCCAGAAATTGCTCATCCCCACAATGCTGTTCTCACAGGCAGCGGGTCCCCAAGACCTTCAGGCCTGCCCTTGTTACTTCAGTGCCTCCTGGTGGGGAAGAAGTCCTGCCCTTAAGGTAGCGCTTGGGTCACTCATGGTCTCTGCTCTCCTAAGCTGTCTGTACAGAACAGCTTTGTACACGAGGTTTTGCACACACACGCCCAGAGTTGCTAAGGGCAAATTCTTAGAAGTAGAAACACTGCATCAAAAAGGATGTGCTTTTTTAGATTTTGCAAGCAGTTGCCAAGCTGCCTTTCTTAAAAGTCGTACTAGTTTCAGCTGTTGCCAGCAGTGCAGGCGAGCAATCCCTATGTATCCGTGGCAAGGGCGTGTCACCTAATCTCAGAATCACTCAGGGCGAGGAAGTGGGAACCGCCTTCTCCAACTGTGAGTGAGGACGAGTACTTTTTCCAGGAACAGTTATTCATGTCCTGTGCCATTTTGGTCTATCTTCAGGGTAGTAGATTTTTTTCTAGTTGTCTTTTTTTAATTGATTTTTAGAGAGAGAGGAGTAAAAGGGAGGACGAGTGAAAAAACATCAATGTGAGAGTGAAACATCATCAGCTGCCTCCTGCAGTCCATCCTGGGAGTTGAGCCCGCAACCCCGGCATGTGCCCTGGACAGGATTTGAACCAGCAAACCTTTTGGTGCATGGGATGACACCCAACCCACTGAGCCACACTGGTCAGGGCCCTAGTTGTCTCTTTTCTTTTTTTTTTTTTTTTTTAATATATTTTATTGATTTTTTACAGAGAAGAAAGGAGAGGGATAGAGAGTTTGAAACATGGATGAGAGAGAAACATAGATCAGCTGCCTCCTGCACACCTCCCACTGGGGATGTGCCCGCAACCAAGGTACATGCCCCTGACCGGAATCGAACCCGGGACCCCTCAGTCCGCAGGCCGACGCTCTATCCACTGAGCCAAACTGGTCAGGGCGCTAGTTGTCTCTTTTTAAAACATGGTGTGTTTGCCTTGCAGACACTTTTCATTTCTCTGGTGATGAATTGACCAGACTTTTCTCTTACAGCTTGGGAGTCTTTGCTCTTCTGTGGTGCAGCAAGCAGCAGTCTTGAAGGAGGGTCCCCAAGCTGAAGTTCGGTGTCCCCTGAGGTCCCAGTCCTTGGGCTGAGGTGGCCTTCAGCTTTCTGGAATGAGCCAATCTGCACACTGACCAAGCTCCAGGCCTTAGTTCCAAGGTCAGGCTGGAGCAGGGTCTCTGGGCTGGTGGGCAGGCCTGGTTGTGTGTTTGTATTTCCCAGGTCACGTGGTTTGGGTGTGCATTTGTGCCTGATTGGACCTGCTAATTATCACTCTCTTGAGATCTTGGTCTGTGCCTGCCGGGACTGACCGACAGACCCTGAATGACGGATGAGTGATTACTCTGACACATGTTTCTGTGGAGGAGAGGCTAAGGGACTGGTTGGCATAAGGAGCCAAAAACAGCCTTGATCGCCTGCCTCCTTAGGCTTTTATTGTAACAACAGCTTGAACTCAAATTAACTATTAGATGCTATCAGCAGGGTAAGCATCCTTGAGGAGACACATGTGTCTGTAGTGTATAAGTAAACACCTGGGGGCTCAGACTTGTTTGGAAAAGTCAAGGCAGTGTGTGTGCCACCTTTGGCAAGGTCCCCCAGAGACCTCTGACCTTTCAGAGAATCCTTACAGACTTTCCAACCAAGTACCATGCTTCCCCACATGTACCCATTTGTCTGTCTACCTCCACCTCCTCATTGAGAAAACCTGATGTGTGTGTGTGTGTGGGGGGGGGGTGCTTCTGAAGGTAGCAGGTCAATTTAGAAACAAGAGCGACATCCCTGCTGGCCAGCAGGAAGGCTCACCCCAGGGGATGTTAACCTGCATTTACCAGGTCAGAGCCTGGGACGAGTTAGTTCTGGAGCCCTTCCACCGTGCTGGCATCCCATGGGTCCCTCTGTGGGTACCTGGTCTTGGAGAGACATCCCAGGCTGGGTGCTGGGATCCAGTGCCCCCTCCACTCCCTCCAACTTGCCTTTACTTTGACAGCTGAATGTTGGAGCCACTTTTAAAATGTGCTTCCTGGTACCAGGTACCACCACCCTAAATTGTTCTTCACCCAGTTCCATGTTTCTGGTTTGCTGCTTCTGATATACTAGTAAGAGAAGCTCAGGAGGGTGGGACCTTGTCTGTCTCCTTGCCTGCTTAACCCTGGTACCTGCCTCAGGCCTCTGGGCAGACAGTCAGCAAATGTCCCTCTTGGTAGAATGAAGACCCACTGCCTCTCCGGCAGACTAAGGGATCTTGGAACTCAGGGGGTTGGGGAGTGGGGTTATGGAGAGAGGGGATGATGGAGACAGGAGGATTGGTTGGCTATCCACAGTGGGCCACATGGGACTGGGCAGAGAAAAGGCCTGTGTTGAGCACAAGCACCTTAGGAACCTTCTCAGCAGCCACCCCCCAGAAGGATCCATGAAGGAAGGCCGCAGCAATTTGAGTCCAGAAGGAATGATCTGCTGATGACAGGAGGGTGTGCCACTCTGGACATTCCTTCTGGACTCAAATTCAAGTCACTGCCTTCTCTGCCCTGCCCTAGTGTGTGTCCTGCAGCTGCTATAACAAGTCACCACAAACTTGGTGGCTTAAAACAACAGAAATGGCCCTAGCTGGTTTGTCTCAGTGAATAGTGTTGGCCCATGGACTGAAGGGTCCCAGGTTTGATTCCTGTCAAGGGCATGTACTTTGGTTGCAGGTTCAATCCCCATCCCTGGTTGAGACTAGTGCAGGAGGCAGCCACTGGATGTGTCTGTCTCACATCAAAGTTTTTCTCTTTGTGTCTCTCCCCTTCCCTTCCATTCTCTCTAAAAAGCAATGGAAAAATATCCTCGAGGGAGGATTAGCAAAAATGAAAATTAAAAAACAAAAAAAGACCCGAAAACCCACAAAATTATCTCATAGTTTGGATAGCAGAAGTCCAACACTAAACTCAGGTGTGGGCAGGGCTGGTCCTTCTCGAGGCTCCAACAGAAAATCATTTCTGGCCTTTTCCAGCTCCTAGAGGCACCATATCCTGGGCTCTCGGCCCCTTCCTCCACCTTCACAGCCAGCAGCACAGCCTCTTTCATCATTCACTCTGACCCTGATGCCTCTCTCTTATAAGGACTCTATGTTGACACTGTGCCCTCTGGGGAGTCTAGGATCATCCCCTATCTCAGGGGCCTTGACTTAATTTTATCTGCAAAATTGCTTTTGCCACATGAGGTAACATGTCCACGGGTCTAGGGACTAGGGCCCTACACATGTGGGCAGTCTGGAACCTCTCTGGCCCTCAGGAGCCACATCTAAATGGTGAGATGCTGCCCACTGTGCGGGCTTCTGTAAGTGGCCATACCAGAGTGTAAGCGGGCAGACAGGGGCAACTGATCTGCTGATGACAGGAGGGTGTGCCACTCTGGATATTCCTTCTGGACTCAAATTCAGCACACCACCAGCTGTATGGCACTTCGCCTCTTAACTTGTCCTGGGAAACCTGTCTTTCACTCTGTCCCTGAGATGACTGCAGCATTCTGGGCTCTGCTTAATTTCTGATGTGCAGAGTGCATCCAAGCTATTGTTGGGGCCTGCTATCCTGACACAGACTAGCCCTGCCGGCCTCAACGTGGTGCCATTGATCTGTGAATGGAGGTGGTCTCCAGGGGAAGTGAATTCATCTGGGCCAAGAGGTTTAGATGACTCCACCCATAGCGTGACCCGTCCCGATATGAGGCCCCTAGGGTTTTTTCCTGGGCAGAGTGAGCTACTGACTTTGTCTGGAATAGTTCACTTTCAGCAACAGTATGTTTGGAAGCCATGGGGAGAGGCAACTGCTAAGCACAGGGACCATCCACCTTATCTCCTGAGAGCTCGCTGGTGGGTGGCAAATGAGGCCCAGGCAGGGCCAGTGGGGGAAGTTAGCCAGCCTCTCTGAGCTTTTTTTTTTCCTTGTCTGCAAAGTGGTGGGTACAGCTGGGTATAGCCAACTGGTCCACATCTGGGAAAGTGCCCACTGACTGTTGGAACTACTAGAATGGAGCCATGGCTACTCCTTTTGTAAACCCCACTCACAGGATGCGCGGTCAAGGTGGACCTAGAGCTCAGTTCGGTTTGCATGCAGCCTGGTGCAGTGGTCGAGATGATTTGGGCCTCCCCTTGGGAAACTGTCCTTTTGAACAGGAGTCTCCACCTGGGACAGACTCTCAGGCAGGCACAGGCATCTCTGTGTCCCAAGTACAGCTGTGCTGCCACAGGAGTGGTCACATGTGGGGAGGGCACATGTGAGTGGGGAGGGGTGTTGCGGGGCAAGGCCTGGGCTTTGGGGAGAATCTGGAGGAGGAAGGGAGGCGCAGGTACATTCTGGGGCAGCCAGTGGGTGGACTGTGAGCTAGGCAGGGCCAGGCTAGGCTGGCAGGAAGTCGGAGGAGGTGGAGGAGGTGGCCCCAGGCCCCAGAGAGGTAAGGAAGGCCTGAAGCCACCATCAGTCCCTTCAGGAGACTGTCCTGTGGCTACAATGGACCAAAATGTGTCTGGGGACCTCTGTTACAGCAAGGGGGGTGGGGGGAGCAGGAAGGATGTAGCCAAGAAGGGATGGTGGCTCCCAGAGGTTTACCCAAGATTGAGGGGTGCTGAGGTGCTGCGGTCCTACTTTTCTCAACAAAGCTGGTCTACTGAGGTGGGGACAGTGGGGCTTGGGCTCCAAGCTAGCACAGGCTCACGGGAGCCCCAGGGGGTGGAGGGAGGGCCATGGGCACACTGGGGGTATTGCTGCCCTTCACTCAGTCTTCACATCCTCATCTGCATGAGGGTGTGAGCACCTAGTTCATGCTGCTGTGTGGGGGGAGCATGAGATAAAACATGCAAGCTCGCTAATGTGGAAGGTGGCGGGAACACACTGTGGGAACCAATGGCTGTGTCCTGCGTTTTGACCAAGCAACTGGCTTCGGGACTGGGCCACATCAAGGCATTCCCGTGTGTGCGGTAACGACATGTGAGGGACAAGTACCTGGCGGGCTAGAGCTGGTGCTTCAGCCACACAGTACGCCTGGTCTCTGTGATGGGCCAGGAATTCATCAGAGAGGTCATTTGGGGATTTGAGAATAGAACGGAGGCAGACCTGCCTAAATATCTCATAGTGTGGGCCTTAGGACTCCAGCCAGAGGAGTAGAGGGACAGTGACTGCCGGGGTTCTGGGGCACAGGGCAGGCCCACAGCAAGAAGCTACCGTCTGCTGACCCCCTTCTGTGCCAGGCTCTGTCCTGGAAACCTGCATTACCCTCCATGCTCTGCAGTGCCTTGAAGGGAGGCAGGACTGGCAAACGTTTTCTTCTGGAAGCAGCCAGAGTACGGCTGTGGGTCTGGTTTGTCCCTGGGCCCCAGTTTGCCATTCCTGCCATAAAGAACAGCCCTTCTTTCTGAGGCTGCCACTCACTTCTGCCCCATCCTGGAACGCCCAAAGCCCTTTCTTCCTCAGATCTGCTCTCCCCTCTGTGGAATATTGTCCTCCAGCCTCCTTTTGCTGGTGATCTCTCACTCCGCTTCCTCAGAGAGGCCGCCCCACATTGGGTGGAGTTCAGTGGGAGCTGGGTAGAAGCTGGAGGCCAATTTCCCTGGGTCACAACCTGGTCTGCCTGGCCCTGGGCTCAAGTGCCTGCATAGGGCCTGGGGCCCAGTCAGCTCTGGCAGACTCCTGGGGAGTGTATTGACCCTCCCTGGTACAGCCCCAACCCATGCCCAGCCCCATGCCTCCTTCTTGGGGCCAGGGGCCAAGGAGCCAGGGAAATGGTTCCTTGCATGGCTCATGGTCTCAGAGGGTCTGAAGTAAGAAGGCAATGAGATGGAGGTCTGAGTTGGAGGAGCGGGGGACTTGGGGTAAGCCCTTGGGGGTCAGGGATAGGGCAGCCTTGCCCTAACCAGGACAAAAGTGAAGGGTCCTGTCAGAAGGTCCCCGAGAGGAAGCAGAGAGGAGTCCTGTTTGTCCAGGTTGTATCTCCCTGTGACTTCCAAGGCCTCTGGGGTGTGGCCACGCCTGAGCTCTGGGCTCCTGGGAGGGAGGACCTGCCATATGGTGGGGCATTCCTGAAAGGGGTTCTGTGGTCACCGGGTGGTGGTGAGGGCTGCTGCCCACTGGTGCTGAGCTGTCCTGCCCTTCCTGCCCCAGGCTGACTGGCTGGCTGAACTTGGTGGCCTGACTTGGCCGGCAGCCGTACCTGCCCTGCCCACCATGGACCAGGACTATGAGCGGCGCCTCCTTCGGCAGATTGTCATCCAGAACGAGAATACAATGCCGTGTGTGAGTAGCCGGGGGTCTCCCCTGCCAGTGCTGGCCTGGCCCGGTGGAGCTGGTGGGGAGATGGGGTGAGGGGTGTGGTTGGCCACAGGGCTTCTGCCCTCAGCAAAAGAGGGAGGTGCTGTGCAGGTGAAAAACACATCCTCCCCCAGAACTCCCTCATGACGCCACCACAGCCACCAGAGCTGCAGTGCACCTCCCCTCCTCCTGCTGGAGGCCCCTTATTTACAGGCCTGTGCCTCCTGGCCTGCAGGGGGCACCAGCTCTTCTCTTGGGCCGTAGTCAGGACTGACTGGGGGATGAGGGAATGTGAGCCACCTTCCATTTTCCCAGCAGGGCAGTCAGTGAAGGGCCCAGCAACACAAAGCTGGGGTTCAGCCCTGGCCCCACAGCCTGTGCAGGAGAGTTGGCCTGGTTGGCCAGGCTGATGTGGGAGGGGGTCCGGGTACTGGGACCCAGGAGCCGATGGGGCAGGGGTGACCGGGCTAAGGGGTCTGGGGAAGATCCTTCTGGTTTTGCCGGCAGTCCTTGGCTTTTAGATCCATCACTTCAGTCTCTGCCTTGTTTTTATGTTCCCTTCTTTTCTGTGTGGGTATCTCTGACTCTAATAAGGATACCAGGCATTCATTTTAGAGCCTAGGACTTCAACGTATGCTTTTGGAGGACACAGTTCAACCCACAGCAGATCGCTTATAGATAAGGGCGTTCGCCAGATAATCAAGTTGGGGTCAGAGGGTTGGCTGGAAGCTGTGCGCCCACCTTCACATCTCGGTTCGGGTGGTTGGGTTATTGTTCTCTGGGAGCAGGTCCGTCCATGTGCAGGACATCGAGGTGGCGGGGCAACAGGTTCTCAGTGCTCAGGGAATAAACTTTCAACTCTCTGGTCCTGTGGTCGCTTAGGAATATAAAGCCACCGTGTAGTGTGCTAATGTCTTGGGCTCTATTGCTCCTTGGCCTCCTTTTGCTTCACAAAGCTGCCAGCAGGTCCAGCATATGAGTTATTTACCCAAATGTTTTACCTCTGCCCTTGGGTTTCCAAGATTGAACCCCTCGGTCAGTGGCTAGAGACCAAAGGCAGCAGGCAGGGTGGGTGGGTCAGGCTGTGGCTCTGAGGCACCCAACCCCACCCCGCCATCCTTTTAGGTCTCAGAGATGCGGCGGACCTTGACACCTACCAACTCCCCCGTGTCCTCCCCCAGCAAGCATGGGGACCGCTTCATCCCCTCAAGAGCGGGCGCCAACTGGAGTGTCAATTTCCACAGGATCAATGTGAGGACAGAGGACCCCCAATGGGAGGGTCAGGCGAGAAGCCTGGGGCGGGGCCACGCCATTCTGGCTCACCCCTCCTTCCTCTTGCTCCTTCCCTCTCCCGCAGGAAAATGAGAAGTCTCCCAGCCAGAACCGGAAAGCCAAGGATGCCACCTCAGACAATGGCAAAGGTCAGGAGTCAGGGCCACAGACACCCTCTTTCTTTCACCCCCTCACCTGGTCCCACCCCAGCCTCTCATTGTGTTTGGTGCCTGCAGATGGCCTGGCCTACTCAGCCCTGCTGAAGAATGAGCTGCTAGGGGCCGGCATTGAGAAGGTGCAGGACCCACAGACGGAGGACCGCAGGCTGCAGCCTTCCACGCCCGAGAAGAAGGGGCTGTTCACGGTGAGCCTGCCAGCCATGCCCACACTGACCGATGCTTCCTGCTGGGGATAGAGGTCCCTCTCCTCCATGACTGATCCAGGCTCAGCCCTCAGCCCTGGCCTCCTGTGCTGTGTGGAGGCTCCTCCAGGAGACCAGTCTCAGCCTCCCTAGGTTCCTCCTCCTCCCCCTACACACCAGCCCTGCTGGGGGCCTTGAACCCCAGAGAGGGTGGGAGAAGGCAGGGCCAGGCCCTTTTAGCCCCGAGGCTTGCCCTGTGGCCCTCCTGGGCATCTGCTGAGACAGAGGTAACTCTGGGGCAGGTGCTCAGGTGCAAGGTGAAGGGACAGTGGCCTCAGCAGAGCCGCCCCAAAGAGCATGTCCAAGTCATCCCGGGTCATGGGGGCCCCTGGCAGTGTTGGAAAGAGCCTGACTTCTAGTCCCTCAGGATGGCTGAGGGGCTGATGGCTGTGAGGGGGCAGGGGCATGCTGGCAGTCACACTGAGCAGGGTCCTGGTTTGCTTTTCTGAGTTTCCGGAACCCAGGACACCCCTAGTTAGAGGTCTTCCTGGTTAGGGCGAGTAGCACCCTCACTCTTCCCCCCAACCACCAGGAGCTCAGGGCACCCAAGCTTTGGGTCTGAGGTTCCTGAGCTCTGGGACCACAGTGTCCACTCAGTGGGTATGTGTCCACGCTCCCTCCAGTATTCCCTCAGTACCAAGCGCTCGAGCCCTGATGACGGAAATGATGTGTCTCCCTACTCCTTGTCGCCAGTCAGTAACAAAAGGTGAGTTCGGGGTCTTTGAGGGCGGGGACAGGGCAGGGTGAGCAGCCGGGCAGTACATGAGAGCTGCATTAGTCTTAGGACCCCTCACTGGGGCACACTGTCAGCCTGAAGGTTTTGGGTCCAGACTGGGGGAGAGGGGAGTCAGGGAGGGCTCTCTGGAGGAGGTGCCAAGCAGAGAGGATGGTGTGGCTGTTGAGTCTTGGGGTGGCCAAACACCCAAGGGCAAAGGGCCTTGTGTCCATGGGGTCACCCACAGTTTGGGGATCATGCAGGCAGAGGGGCAAGGTGAGCGGGAGAAGATATGCCAAGAACTAATGTGAACCAGGGGTAGTAACATTAGCCAAAGAGTAATGATAACCACATGGCTGATTGACAGAAAATCACCGTCTCGGGCTCTCCCCACAGTCAGAAGTTATTGCGATCCCCACGGAAACCCACCCGCAAGATCTCCAAGATCCCCTTCAAGGTTCTGGATGCACCTGAGTTGCAGGACGACTTCTACCTGAACCTGGTGGACTGGTCATCTCTCAATGTGCTCAGTGTGGGGCTGGGCACCTGCGTGTACCTGTGGAGCGCCTGCACCAGCCAGGTGGGTGCTCCAGTGCCCATAAGTGTGTGTGCAGGTGCTTGTGTGTGTGTGTGCCTCAGGGGTGTGGGGTGGCTTCCTCTAGTCATTGCGTCGGGCTGGCCCATGTGAAGGGTAAGTGTGGCTGGGTGCTCCATAGCCTGGGGCAGCACCTGGCCAACCTCTCACATCTGAGGCCCACCCTCCACGTACAGACTGGAACTCGGGAATAGTCAGCAGGTGTGAGTGGAGGCCCTTCTGCTGTGGGCTGTCTCCTGTATTGACCAGTAGTCCTTGCTCTCTACCTGAGTTCTGCCTCTGCCTGTGTCTGCAGAGGAGGGGAGATGGGTGTTCAGGCCTGGCTGAGCCTGGGGATTGCCCCACCCCACCCTCAGCACTAACTCTGAGGTGCTGCTAGGCCCACCATGGGCTCAGACACGCCTGCCAGGGTGGGACGTTTTCAGAGATTAATGCAAGTGGTGATGCCCCCTAGAGAGGGCTGCCACCTGTTGGAAGCACCCCAGGTGTGTGATGCCCTCGTTACCTCCCCAGCACCCTCCCCAGACTTTCCAGTCACTCATCCCTGTGCTGCATGTGTCCCCTTGCAGCCTGCAGTCTCCTGGGCACCCCAGCATCATTATCTCAGGTCCCAGCATTAACACCAGTGCCCATAGGCTGAGGTGTGACTGAATGAATAAACAGATGGATGCATGAACGAATGGACAGGGGGCCTTGAAGGATCAGCGGGCAGCACGTCAGCTCACACCGACCGCTCCCTCCTTCCCCCAGGTGACCCGGCTCTGTGACCTCTCTGTGGAAGGGGACTCGGTGACTTCCGTGGGCTGGTCTGAGCGGGTTAGTATACAGGGTTCATTCCTGGGCTGGGCAGGGGAGGTCTGACTGGGCCTTGCTGGCAAGGGTCCTCGGCAGTGTTTGGGGGCCTGTTCCCAGCCCGGCAGAGACTGTGACAGTGACAGGGCTGCTGGCAGGTCCCCCCACAGACATAGAGTTGAGCGCAGTCCCTTCAGAGCCCCAGCCTTCACCCCAGCCAGGGGCAGGCCAGGCTCAGGCAGGCAGGTTCACACATTGAAGTGCATGGGTCTTACATGTGCGTTGGCTGATTTAACAAACCCATGTGTTGTGTAATCATCTCCCCAGTAAGTTCCAGGACAAGGTGGGTGTCACTTGGTCAGAAGGGACATGCGAGGAGCGGGGAGGGGAGACCCAGGGAGGCTGGGCCTGATGCCTGCTCTCGCCGGGTCCTGTCCTAGGGGAACCTGGTGGCCGTCGGCACGCACAAGGGCTTTGTGCAGATCTGGGACGCAGCTGCGGGGAAGAAGCTCTCCATGCTGGAAGGCCACACGGCACGAGTTGGTGAGGAGCCCAGGGTCCTGGTGGGGTGTCATCCCAGTGGGTGGGAGTGATTCTAGGCACGAGGAAGTGATGATTCCCAGCGCACCCTGTTTCTGAGAGGCCAGGCCTCGGCCTCACCCAGCCTTCTGTCTGGTCTCCAGGAGCGCTGGCCTGGAATGCCGACCAGCTCTCATCTGGGAGCCGGGATCGCATGATCCTGCAAAGGGACATCCGCACCCCGCCCCTGCAGTCGGAGCGGCGGTTGCAGGGCCACCGGCAGGAGGTGTGTGGGCTCAAGTGGTCCACGGACCACCAGCTCCTTGCCTCAGGAGGCAATGACAACAAGGTAGATGCCCTGGGCCCCTCATTGTCCGGGCCTCGGGAATATCCCATCCACTCGGCCAGCCCTCATCCATACAGCAGGGGTGACAAGGGTATGCCCTGAGGGAGGACCATGATGGGTTTGAGCTAAGCCATTCATCCTCCCGTTGAGGGCTTGCCTAGGGGCCACAGCCAATGGAGGGCCTCACAGCTGCTGCCGCCCCCCATCCCCACCCTCCCAGCTGCTGGTCTGGAACCACTCGAGCTTGAGTCCCGTGCAGCAGTACACAGAGCACCTGGCAGCCGTGAAAGCCATAGCCTGGTCCCCACATCAGCATGGGCTGTTGGCATCCGGCGGCGGCACGGCCGACCGCTGCATCCGCTTCTGGAACACGCTCACAGGGCAGCCACTGCAATGCATCGACACAGGCTCCCAGGTGTGCAACCTGGCCTGGTCCAAGCACGCCAATGAGCTGGTGAGTGCCATGGCAGGGCCTCTGTGTGTGCACGGGAAGGTTCTGGAGCAGGAGCCCTGGGCCCCAGCAAGGCCTTCCCTGGGGTCCTAGGGTGAAGCCAGGACCCTGCCACCCAGATCAGTCTGGAAGTACCTGCCCCTAATCTGGGTGCCCGTGCTGCTGACCACCAGCAGAGGCTGGCTGAGCTCTGGGTACAGTGTAGCTCCCTGTCACCTTCGGCATCAACCAGAGTTTGGGGGTAAGGGGCTGGGCAGGTCCCAGGTGTCCTTGCTGTTCAGTGGGTGCATCAGGGGGAGTGGACAGCTTGCATCTGAGCCCTGGGGTCGTGGGAGGGGAGCCCAGGTTCTGACAGTGCCTTCTACATCCCACAGGTTAGCACACATGGCTACTCACAGAACCAGATCCTGGTCTGGAAGTACCCGTCCCTGACCCAGGTGGCCAAGTTGACCGGGCACTCCTACCGAGTTCTGTACCTGGTGAGTCTGCACTGGGCCCCTGGGAAGGCCGGGTGCAGATCCAGCTGGCAACCTCCCCCACCTGGGCCTGTGGGGTGGGGGTGGGTCATCCAGGCCAGCTCCCATGTTCTGCTTTCAAACGTTAATTGTGTCATCACTTTGAATCTACTTTCTTGAACTCCCCAGCTCTGTGAGGAAGGGCAGCTGTGCCCTCCTGAGAATCTCCACACATTAGTTTATCTTTATGATGAAACACAATTAACCCCCCATCCAACTACTTAGAAAATCTCTGAGAACAGTTCATCAGATAACCTATTTGCACCGGCCTGAGGACAGGCCCTCTCCATCCCTCCTCAAGTGTTTTTCTTAATTTCCAGAAGAAGTATTCTGTGCTTAAACTGTCAGATCCTTTGCTCAAGTGCACAGAGTAGATAGGGGCTGGGGCATCCTGTGTTTTTGGCTTTGGTGGGGGCCCAGCCCCCTGCACCTGTCCTCCATCATTGACTCCATTCATGGGACCAACTGCAAGGCCCGAGAACAATGAGGGTCTCTCCTCCTGCAGGCCATGTCCCCTGATGGAGAGGCCATCGTCACTGGTGCTGGAGACGAAACCCTGAGGTTCTGGAATGTCTTTAGCAAAACTCGTTCGACAAAGGTAAAGTGGGTCGGTATCAGCGCCAGGTGCTCCCCCATGCGCATCCCCTCAGCCTATCCTGGGGGCCGTCCCCCACTGCCACCTGAGCAGCCCTGTTCAGACTCTGCTGTCACTTTCCCCTGGGACTGCCTGCATCCCCTCTAGCTGCTCCTGCATTGCTCTGCACCCCCAGCCAGGGTGCCAGGAAACAATGTTGCCTACTCATGCTCCTCCTCTGGCCCGAAGCCTCTGTTCCCGTCCAGCTGCGGGCTCAGCTTTCTCTCCTGTGTGCCCTGCAGGAATCTGTGTCTGTCCTCAACCTCTTCACCAGGATCCGGTAAACCACGGGCCCAGCCATCAGGGCAGAGGAGCACCACCTGTCATCACGTGCATGACCCTCCCTCCTGCACATGTTCCCAGAGGAAGCAGCCGGGGTGGGCGGGGAGCCGGGCCCAGAGAGACTCTGAAGATTCTCATTAAAGCCTGATTGCGAACCCTGTCAGCGGTGTTTGGGCTGGGGATGTGGTTGGGCACCAGCAGGCACGCGGGGTTCCGGCTCCCTTCACACCAGGTGGCCCCAAGGCCCCAGCTTTGACCGTCTACACTCGGATGGGGATGGACGCCTCCCTGGACCCCACCTGCTTCCCTTTGTGTCCATCATCACTTTGTTGAGCTGCATGCTCTTCCCAGAAGCATGGGTTCACCAGTACTGCCACTGCCCACGTCTGCGACGGCAGAAACAGCTGGATGCCAAGCCAGTCAGCCAGGGGAGGGCCCAGCAGCAGGACGGTTCAGGTCAGCCCGTGGATCCACAGGACTCCTGATAGGTCTCTTGCGGCCACCTCTGCTGTCCCTCCGCTGGCAGCTATCCCAGTGACTTTGCTAGGGGCCAGGCATCAGGAGCAGGCCCAGGCAGGCTGTGCACCAGAGGAGGTCATCTGGAGATGGACTTGTTCCAGGAAAACGGAAGTTGGGTCCACTTGTCATCATGAGCTTGCCCTGACCCTGCACTGTCCTTGTCACTGACGGGGACACAGCTGAGCTCTGTCACCAGCGAGACTACGGTTCCTGCGGCTTGCTGGGTGTACAGATCTAGGTGGCCTAAGGGTGCCTCACCCTCCTCCCAGGTTCCTTCCACATCAAGCTATCCCATGTGTCCTGTCCAACCATGCCTATGACCATGGGGAAGCCAGGGAGGAGCGAGAGGAGGGGGCAACCACTGGTCCCCCAGAAGCTCTCCAGGTGTCCTCTATCCTGCCCCCACCCTGTTGTCCTCTGGCCAAGCTGGGTACCACCTCTCTTCCAGACCTGGAGAAATTGGAGGGAGAGAGGTGAGGCCAGAAGGCAGAGCAGGCCTGGGGCGGGGCGGAGGTCACTCTGGCTCTGCTTCTAGGTCCCCCTCATTTAGTGTTCCCCCCGCAGTCGGCCATGTGTGTGCATGTGTATATATGTGTTTGTGACTTTTCTTTGGGATTGTTTTGTGTTTTGTAGATGGGTCCCAGAAATGTTTAAGGCTAATTAGAGAAGGGCATGGCCCACCCAACCTGCCTGGGGGTGACGGAGTCACAGCTTTTAAAGCCTTCATTTCGGAGGGGTGATCAGCTGAACCTGCTTGGATTTGGGACCCTGCCCCATCCCAGCATCTGTGTGCCATAGCCTCAAGCAAGGACCGTGTACATAGATTTGTGTATTTCGATTGGTCATCTTATTTTTGAGTGTTTTTTTAAGAGAAAACAATCCTTCCCTACCACATCCTCACCCTGCGTAGCTGCCGAAGAGCCCAGGACCCGGCTCTGTGTGTAGGACCCGCACCTGGGAATTGAGACAACAGAGAGGAATGTGTGTTCCCCGGCCTACGGGTCTGGGGGCTGCAGAGTGAGCCTTGTGTCTCCTCTAGTGGAGTATCACTGTCATTATACCAGGTATGGGCTCATGCATGGCTGGGGCTGGCTGTCCATCTGGCTGGGGTGGCTGACAGCTGCAGTCTGCACATACCCAGGCCCCAGACCAGCCTGAACGTCACAAACAGGTGATGAGCAGCCTGCCCTGGGTGAGCTGTCTTTGAGGGATGCCTGTGTCTGATTTCATGTTCTAATAGGGATAAGGGTGACATCATTCACACCATCCTTGCAGCTGGGGGGGTGGTAGTGGTCTCCATATGCAGTGAGATGGGGGCAGGGGAGGGAGGGCCTATTGGGGGGCTGCAGGCTGCACAGGAGCTCAGAGCAGGCCCTGCTGCCAGCTCCACCTGACGTGACTGAAGTCAGCAGTGGGGGCATCGCCCACCCAGTGTCTGCACTTGTGCAAAGTTGAAGGGTGGGTGGGGCATGGTCTGTCAGGCACCCTTTGATTATTGAATGTGGCTTTTGGGGGAAAGGGGAAGGGGAGTTAAGGGTGAGGCAGAGGCCAGTGCAGCGGTGAGGCCCTAAGAGCCCAGGGCGGAGACGGGACCTTGCAGCTGCCTGTGACTGCAGAGCCTGCAGGCCTTTTCCTCCCGGGCAGATCCCCGACCTAGGCACTGGGGACAACAAAACAGACCAGATCCCAAGACCTGCCCTCACGGGGCTTCTGTTGGGTGTGAGAGGGAGGTGTGTGCTGTGTGATGGAAGAAGGAGACTTTAGGAAAGGACAGCTTTGAATCCAGGACTTGCTACAAAGCTGATGTTTGAGCAAGGGAGGGTTCGGACAAGAGCAGGAGACCTCTGGGCAGAGGACTTTACAGCCTGTGTAAAGGCCCCGAGAGGAGAGTTCCTGGAGTGTTGGAGAGCCGTGAGGAGGCCCTTGTGGTACAGCAGAGTGAGCAAGTGGAGGGAGGGAGGGAGGAAGTGAGGGCAGGGAGGGGCCTGGGCAGGTCTCGCAGGGCCTCATGGTGAACGTGGAGACATGACCACTGGTGCAGGGGCACAGAGGAGGCTGTGCCAGGCCTGTGATGATGTGACTGGCCCGGACCAGGTGGAGGTGGTGAAAAGAGGGGAGATTGTGGATTTTATTATTTTTTAATTGTGGTAAAATATGCATAACTTAATGTTTACCTTCTTAAACTGAACATTCCGTGGCATTTGGTGTATTTATAATGTGCAAACAGCACCTCTAATTCCAGAACATTTCCATCACCCTCCCAAAAAACCACACCTCCACTCAGTCACCCTCAGCCCCCGGCAACCATGAACCCACTCTCTGTCTCTGGATGGGCCTGTCCTGGACATTTCACATAAATGGAATCACACACTATGGCTTTTGTGTCTGGCTTCTCTCACTGAGCATCCTGTTTTTAAGTTCCCTCCCCATTGCAGTAGCACTTCTTTTCATGGCTGAGTAATACTTCAGCGTGGGCATGGATGGACCACATTGTGTTTAGTTGATGGGCATTTTGGTTGTTTCCACTCCCTGGTTGTTGTGAATCATGCTGCTATGAACATTTGTCCGCAGGTTTTTGCTCTGATGTATTTTGAAACATGAGGACTGGGTGGGGGTGGGGTGAGAAGGGAGGGGTTGGGGACTGGCAGTTCTGGCCTAAGCATCAGAAGCTCTCTTGGGCTCAGAGACCCCCATGTGGAGATGTGGGCAGGGGAGGAGGGGAGCACTGAGGCCCAAGCCACCCAGGTGTGGCCCC